ATGTGGCACGACCAACACTGATATGGATAATTTTAACAATTTTTTTTATATATTTTATATTCTTTTTTTTTCATTATTTCTCAGACATTCGCTGGGCCTTGAAGATGGCCAACGACGAGGGGTGACCTTGCCGACCATGGGTGACGCTTGCCCTCGCCAAATTTGATGAGGTCGCACTTTGACAAAGTCTAGCGAAGGTTAGCCTCGCCAGCCTCGGGCGATTCTCACTTCGCCAAATTCGGTGAGGTTAAGCCTCACGGGGCCTTTGGCGAGACTTGACCTCTCCGGCCTCTGGAGCCTTGCCCGAGTCCAGCGAGGGTGACTTTCGCCGATTATCGCCTGTGGCTAGTCGTAGGTTATTGCCGAGGCCGGACAACCGGCAAAGGAAGAAGGAAAAAAAGAAAAAAAAAATAATAATATAATAAAAAAATTATTCGCGTTAGTGCTGGCCATACCATGTAGGACGACCAACGTGGTCAAAAGTGGCTGGATAGATTACAATGACAAAATCTCAAAAGGTTTATGACTAAATTAGTACAATTGAATGATTTACGACAGAATTGGCACAAGTGCAATATATTTAGGACTTTTTTGGTATTTTTTTCCCGTCATAAAATGGTCTTCAAATTTTCTTCATCGGAATTCACCTTTTATTGTAAATTATTACTTTTCTTCTTCTAGTTGGGGGACAATGGAAAAAACCTTTTTTTTTTGTTTGGTAAAATATAGAAACGAGTCTGAATCTATACATCATCTTGCCTCACTGCTAAGGACTACCCAGAAGGACAAGAAAGTGCATCCCCCTTAGATCTGTCCACCTCACACAACATTAATCTCACCTAAATAATGACCAAATTATTTTATTTTTTTTGGGGGGTCGTTTTCCTCAAACGTACTTCCTTCCAAGAATCTTCTTAAAAACCCTATCTCACTTTATTTTAAAAAATATTATTATACATGATAAAATAGGGAAGAAAAATTATGAATTGGCAACCAGTTTCTTAGTGCTAATAAATAATGAAGCCCTTAGCTATCACAGCAGGTAAGAAGCAGGCAGGAAAGCGGGGGAGATGGTCATTGTAATTTGCAACCATTTAAAGAAAATGCGGCGGGTACAAACCCAGTGGAGTGTCTTAATGTTTGTCCAACCTACTGGTGACAAGCAGCTGAGAAAGCTTATGGTAGGAAAAATTTTCATTATGATTTTGTGATTATAGTCCATTGTAACTTATAAAAATGGCCTTGAATCCAGATAATCCATATGGAGTATATTCCAAATGTCAGCCACACAAGAAACTTCTCTTTGCTGGAGTCTATCTTCATGCTGAAGTTAAAAAAACATAAGAATAGTACCATTGGATTATCCGCATGGGATGTATATATATATTTTGATTTGAGATTCTTGGCTTCTCGATGCTTGTCGGGACCATTACCGAATTGGTCTTAAACCTATTGTACGGATGCCAATTCAGTCCTATCAATTTTGCCAATGTAATTTTAAATCTTTGCGCGAAATTCAAATGTAGTCATTCCAGCTAATTGCCGTTGAAAAATTCCTAACGTGGCATCTGGTCATCGCTAGCTGCCCTACGCGGCATACTAACATGAAGCGACTTTACTCGAAATGACATCTTGCATGGACCGTCACGTCAGCGGTTTTCCTGTGGCAATTAGCTGAATATACCACATTAAAATTTCTCGCAAATGTTTAGAATTATATCGACAAAATTGAAAAGTTGATAACTAAATTGTTATGCGTGAATAGGTTTATGATTGAATTGGTAATAATCTCGCCACTTCGATTTAAATCCGTGCATAACTTGTATCCAAACTAGACCATATAAGCAACACTTGTCTTTTTCTTTCCAAAATTGTGTATACAAAAGAAATTCGTTGTTCTTTTTATCGATGATGACTAGTGAGGGTACGCCACAACAATCACTCGTAGCGTAATTTAATTGACCATACACGTGTAATCGCATCGAGTGCGAGCATCACTTGCTACGAAACAATCGCGAAGCACATCCTAACTACACATAGTTACGCGCGTACTCGCGGCGTGGTCCGAACCTGGAGTGCTAATTTCGACCTAAGATTTTAGCCCGGAAAGGGAAATTTAATCGAGAGAGAGAGAGAGACGACGCTAATGGCTAGTGGGTGCTTTTTCCCTTTCTTGTGTGTAGCTAAAGATGAGAACACGCATCGCATCCGCGAGTGTTGACCCCTATACTAAACTTGACAGATTCGACCCTTTTACAGCCAGAATGGAAACTCCTCCATCAGCCCTCTTTTGCTTAGCTGCATTGACACCGATCCTCACCATTCACGCGTTAACTCGGACACGTGGCGGCAATTGAGTCCTAAATTGCATGCTATTTTTGTAAGAAAATATGACACATATAATCCTTAAATTTTAATCAAATATGTAATGTGGTCCCTCGGAATTTTAATGTATTCAATGTGATTCCTAAATTTTAGCCGAATGTATAATGAGATCCCTAAATAATACAGTCCTTGAACTTTTTGCATATGTTCAATTTAGTCCTTCAACTAAATTGAATAAATTAAACTTGTACTAAAAGTTTAGATACCACATTAAACAAATTAGAAATTTAAGAGCCGCATTATATATTGGATCAAAGTTCAGAGATCATTTGTGTCATTATCCATTTTTATAAAGAATTTACGATAATGAGACTGTCGGACATTTTAAATACCTTGCCTTAGAATCTAATTTTTATCTCTTTCTTTTCCTCAAACATTTTGTTTTCTTCTTAGTGAAACTTGACGGTTGAAGATGGCGACGTTGCTAGGCTCCTCCGGTCCCATTCGATAGGGACCGATACCTTTTGTTGTTAAAACACTCAAAATTTCGACGCTTATGATTAATCATTCATCCTAAATTGTTCATGTGAGCGCTTGGGCCCCAATAATCACATTAATTATGTTGCAATAATCTCCAGCAACCGCCTTGTGCTTGTAGGGCATGAAACAATTGAGGAAAACCTTGACCCGACATAAGTCAAATTATTTGTTGTCATACGATAATTTTAATTTAAATGAACAGGAATGTTACTCGTGACCTTCATGGAGGCTTTTTTGTTTTTTTTTTTTTTTGTTTTTTGTAAATGTTAAGATAAAGTTGGTTGGAGGTTAGAAATTCGAAATATCACCAACAACCGTGTAAGGATAATAATGGGTGTAATAACTAGGGACAGACACCCGTGATCTAGAAAGAGGTGCAAGTCAAGATCTTGCTTTAAAGTATTTGGTATTTGATTATTGAGTATTTAAATCTTTAAGCCACGGCCTCTCTTTTATCAATTTCGTGTACGAGCCCGGATTGGAAATGACGCGTGAAATTTACCTGACAAGGGGCCTCGCATGTGAAATGAATATGGGGACGGAAACTAATTCTAATACCGTGTTAAGAGTGTCACTGGAAAGCTTAATCTGGTAGATGATGGCGTGTTCGATATTTAAATACTTTAATGTCTCTTATTCATGATGAGTCGTGACTAAATTAGCGCCGTACTATCGTGGTCCTGTTCTTTGCCGTGTGTTCGCATTTTTCGTGGCCCAAATATACCTCGGAAAAATCCAGTTAAGTAAGATCATCCATATTGAAAAATTTAGGCAATCTGTGCTGAATTATTTACTCTATGATATGACACCAAAAGTTACTCTAGTTATTAATGTCATAAATCTAAGACCTCATGTTTCTTAGAGAATAATACAAATTTGTTTGTCAAATCTCTCAATATGACTTTTGAGTTAATTGAAATATAGTAACCACTTCACGTTACAATTCATCACATTGGACATCGTTGTCATTACATCTTAACAATCTCTCTCTCATGTAAATATTTCCTTGTTAGGCCTTTTCTCCTTAATCCATTCGAAATGGAAAGTGGTAATCGAATAATTATTGACTTTGATAATATTTCAATCGAAATGAGAGTAAACCTTAGGTCTGTGCAAACAGACCGGTTCTACCCGGGAACCGGATCGAACTGCCTTGCAAACCGAAATGATCGAACCGAGTTTGGAATCGGTTTTATAAAGCCTAAAAACCTAATTTTTCTCTTGACATCTTTTTTTCTATCTCTCTCTTTCTCTGTTCTGTCCGACCCCACTCGGACACTTCACGACTCTCTCTCTTGCTCATGATTCACCCTCCTCCTCGCTCGCTCGGAACTCGCCCTTGCTTGTCCTAACCTCACCCTTGCTCGTTCCCGACTCGTCTTTGCTCGTTCGCCCTCGTTCATCTTTGACTCTGAACTGTTTTATAACTCATATTATCGTGTGGTAAAAAATGAAACCAAAAAAAGGAAAAAAAAAAGGAGGAGGAAAGAACAGATTTTTCCAGTAGATCATGGAACCGGATCGGAAAGCCATGATGGGTCCCAAGTTTCAAATCCAGAACCTATCCGGTCTGAAACCGAGTACCCATAATAAATCTTATTCAACCCGTCCCGGGCGATCGCCCTTTGTAATGCTGAACCTCGGTCGGCGGGCAGAGGTGGCCCCATGCGTAAGCAAGCAGAGAGAGAGAGAGAAAAAGACTACTGTTTGAGAGTTTTCTGGCGTGCCGTTGATTAAAAGAGTTTGGTGCTGGTTCACCACCTCCTCTGGTCTCTCTCTCTCTCTCTCCCCCTCCCTCACCTCCTGGCACAAAAGAAGGAACATGGTTGCTGCAGCAGAGGCACAGAGAGAGAGAGAGAGAGACTCTCCCATGGATCTTTAAAGCCTGAACACACGTGATCGAAGCCATTGTAGCTCGAGTAGCAGTAGTAGTAGAGCCGAACCCCCTTTCTCTCTCCTCTAAGCTGTTTCCACCATCACCCCCTTTTTTGTCCGAAAGCAATCAGTCACAGATCCAGACAACCACCCACCGTCCCCTCCTCCCCCTCCCCCTCCTCCTCTCTCTCTCCAATCTGTTCAAGCTTTCACACTCCATCACTCCCTCGCATTCCGCCGTTCTATCTATATATATATAGTTCCCCCCACTTCTCCACCTTCACAAGATGAAGATTCTTGTTCTTGTTCTTGTTCTTGGTCTGGCTGTGTCCTGTTTCAGTGACGATGCCAGTGGACATGGACAGCAAGGAAGGAGGACTTACATCGTCCACATGGCCAAATCCCAAATGCCGGCGACGTTCCAGCACCACGCCCACTGGTACGACTCCTCCCTCAAGTCCGTCTCCGGCTCCGCCCAGATCATCTACTCCTACGACACCGTCGTCCACGGCTTCTCCGCCCGGCTGACGGCGCGGGAGGCCGAGTCCCTCGAGTCCCGACCCGGGATCCTCTCGGTCCTCCCGGAGCTCCGGTACGAGCTCCACACCACCCGGACCCCCGAGTTCCTGGGGCTCGACAAGGGCAGCCCCTCGTTCCCCGATTCGGACCCGGCCAACGAGGTCGTCGTCGGGGTGCTCGATACTGGGGTTTGGCCCGAGAGCAAGAGCTTCGACGACACGGGCCTCGGGCCGGTGCCGAGCGGCTGGCGCGGCGCGTGCGAGTCCGGCACCAACTTCACGGCGTCCAACTGCAACTCCAAGCTCATCGGTGCGCGGTTCTTCTCCAAGGGCTACGAGGCGACGATGGGCCCGGTCGATGTCTCCAAGGAGTCGAAGTCGCCGAGGGACGACGACGGGCACGGCACCCACACGGCGTCGACGGCGGCCGGGTCCCCTGTGGACGGCGCCAACCTCTTCGGTTACGCCTCCGGGACGGCGCGCGGGATGGCCGCGCGCGCCCGGGTCGCCGCCTACAAGGTGTGCTGGGCCGGCGGCTGCTTCAGCTCCGACATACTGGCGGCGATGGAGGCCGCCGTCGGCGACGGCGTGAACGTCCTCTCGCTCTCCCTCGGCGGCGGGATGTCGGACTTCTACCGGGACAGCGTCGCGATCGGCGCGTTCGCGGCGGCGGAGAAGGGCATCTTCGTCTCCTGCTCCGCCGGGAACGCCGGCCCGAGCTCGTCCAGCCTCTCCAACGTGGCGCCCTGGATCGCCACCGTGGGCGCGGGCACGCTGGATCGGGACTTCCCCGCTTACGTCAGCCTCGGCAACGGGAAGAACTTCTCGGGGGTGTCGCTGTACAGCGGGAGTTCCAAGGGGACGCTTTTGCCCTTCGTCTACGCCGGTAATGTCAGCAACGCCACCAACGGCAACCTCTGCATGATGGGCACCCTGGATCCCGAGAAGGTCAAGGGCAAAATCGTCCTCTGCGACCGCGGGGTGAACGCCCGGGCCCAGAAGGGGTGGGTCGTGAAGCTCGCCGGCGGCGCCGGGATGGTCCTCGCCAACACCGCCGCGAACGGCGAGGAGCTGGTGGCGGACGCCCACCTCCTCCCCGCCACCGGCGTGGGGGAGAAGTCCGGCGACGCCATCAAGAGCTACCTGTTCTCGGACCCCAACCCGACGGCCACGATCCTCTTCGAGGGCACCAAGGTGGGGATCCAGCCGTCGCCGGTGGTGGCGGCGTTCAGCTCCAGGGGGCCAAACGTCATCACGCCCCAGATCTTGAAGCCCGACATGATCGCGCCGGGCGTCAACATCCTCGCCGGCTGGACGGGGGCCGTCGGCCCGACGGGGCTCGCGGTGGACGACCGCCGCGTCGCGTTCAACATCATCTCCGGGACGTCCATGTCGTGCCCGCACGTGAGCGGCCTCGCCGCCCTCCTAAAGGCGGCCCACGCCGACTGGAGCCCCGCCGCCATCAAGTCGGCGCTCATGACCACCGCCTACGTGACCTCCAAGAACGGCGGGAAGCTGCAGGACGTGGCGACGGGCAAAGACTCCACGCCGTACGACCACGGGGCCGGACACGTGGACCCCGTGTCCGCCCTCAATCCCGGTCTCGTCTACGATCTGACGGTGCAGGATTACTTGGACTTCCTCTGCGGGCTCAACTACACGTCGAACCAGATCAATCTCCTCACCAGGAGGAACTACACATGCGACTCCAGCAAGAGCTACAGCCTTTACGACCTGAACTACCCGTCCTTCGCGGCGAGCTTCGACTCGATGAGCGGCGGATCCACCACCATCAAGTACACGAGGACGCTAACCAACGTGGGCTCCGCGGGGACGTACAAGGCCAAGGCGTCGCCGGACTCGGCCGGCGCGGTGAAGATAGCGGTCGAGCCGGACACCCTGAGCTTCAGCAAGGCCGGGGAGAAGAAGTCGTTCACGGTGACCGTGACGGGGAGCACGATGCCGTCGGACACCAATGCCTTCGGGCGGCTGGAGTGGTCGGACGGGAAGACGACCGTCCGGAGCCCGATGGCATTCGGCTGGACTTAGAAGGAGATTTAGGAAATTCAATTGGGTCACTCGCTCGAATAGGAGCGTGTGATTTCTAGGGAAAAAGCGAAGAAAGAAAAGATTGGATTGACATGGGGTTGTGTTCTTTTCTCCAGCAAATAATGCGAAACCTGGAGCTGGTGTTTGATGTTTTGCTTGTCCTATCCGAGGAACCAAACATGAAATGTTAGCAAAGATTGGGATGTCTTTTTCTTTTTGCATTTTCTTTCATCAAGCTTAACAGTGTATAGTGTGTCAATTTGACGGCATTATGTATTGGGATTGTGAGAGTTCTTTAGCCCTCTGGGGAAACATCTGAAGCACTGAAATTTATTGGAGCTGGCGACTGTGTATAGGTACACCGATGCTAGAAGCTTATATGAAGATGATGGCAATTTGGCGTTTGGGCAGCAGGTACATCTGCAAAAGCAATGACAGTCAGATAGTCAGTCAGTGATGGAATGCTTGAACGAATCGGGGTCGGGTCGATCATCATCGGCCCCGTGCAATAAATAGGGCATAGGCCAAGGGCCCATCCGATAATTGCGAGAGCGATAGGGGTGGGCCTATAGGAGTCCAATCGATTTGGTGGCTTGTCCTCAAACTAGTAAAGGAAGGGGAAAAGTTGACGCTTTTAAGAAGTAAAAAATTGACACATTTCTATACTATGGTTTGATGTGCAATATCATCCTAGATATTTTTAATTGTTCAATGCGGTTCCTGAACTTTGGTTCAATTTGCAAATTCAATCTTGAACTTTTAATTTGTTCAATGCGGTGCGGTTCCTAAAGGGACTACATTGAATAATTGTTAATAGTTTAGGGACACATTGTACAAATTAAAAGTTTAGGGATAATATTTCATGTTGGGCCAAAACTCAAGGATCACATTGTACAAAATTAAAAATTCAGGAACGACATTGCATATTAGACCAAGGTTGATGGACTATTTGTGCTAATATCCCTTTTAAGAACTTAAATGAATCAATGTCGGATTGATCATCGGCCCATGCTATAAATAGGGCTAAGGCCAAGGGACCATCTGATAATGCGAGACCGATGGGGTGGGTCGGAAGGAGTTCAATCTTTTTTGGTGGGTTGTCCAACTAGTAAAGGAACGAGAAAAGTCGACACTTTTAAGAACTTTTTTTTCGTCCGTCTTACTTTTAACTCTCAACTCACTATCACACTTTTATCCTACCTCCTTGCAGAGCGTGGGAGTCAAAACCCACATCTGAAACCAAACGTTCCCAATCCATAACCCTCCCAAGAAGATGGGGAATCGAACTCTCCATCTCCCCCTTCTCAAGTAGGAAGGGTGGCCACTAGGGCTTGCCCCAATGGTTTATGCTTTTAGGAATTTAGAAGTGTTTTTGTACCTTTTTTTTTCTATCGAAAGGAAAATTTTCATTTAACATGAAAGGGTGGTACCTAACTTCAAAATAAAGATGCAAACCCCACAAAGCTAGTAAATATGAAGATAAATCAACTTGGTACAACCTACAAAGACTTGCTGATTTCACAAAGACAGGTCTGTCATAGCATCAAAGCACAACCAGCGAATGATTACTAAATCTCGCATCTTTATCAGTGACGTACACATGCAGAGATTTCCCCCTCTATTAGCTATGGTTTTGCCGAAAGGCGATGCTGGGTCTAGGTTTGATGTCCTCATCACCATCGCCATATAGGGACAACAACAATACCAACAGGTTAAAAGAGCACTGAAAACGCCTTGTAAATCCTAGATCTATAACTAGCTCGAAATAGAAGAGCACATAAATCTAAATCTAGCTCTAAATCAAGAGAGAAACTTGCAATAGAGATACCAATCGATCACAAAATGTCTTTCGAGATAGGCGACATCGAAGGAAAGCAGCAAAGCGGCCTTGGAGACTCGTGGAGCGTTCGACTATATGGAGCAAGCACTGGAGCCGGAGCTGGAGCAGAAGCGAGCGAGCAAATTCGGAAGAGTAGATTCTTCCGAGGTGATCGCACTTTGAACTTCCAGGCTTACAGAACAAAACTCCCCATTTCCGTGAAGGAAGTCGACCGTATCGTCTTCGAAACACCCTAAGAAACTCCCCAAATTTAGATTCAGTCCAAATCTGCCCCAAACTTTTTGTGGTTGAAAAAAAAAACGTCAACTTTATATGCACTCCCAAATCTATCCCAAGCTCGTTTTTTTCCTAAAAAAATTCACTAGTTGTAACTCTAGTCCCAAATCTACTCCTGTTAGCCTCCATCCAAAAATCATCGTTAGTCGTCCCTTATTTTCCTATTTTCATATCAAAGAACGGTTTCACTTTGAAGATATTTTTCCACGTCACCTTATTGATGTGGATTTATTACCAACATGGAAATGCTACACCAAACAACTAATGGCAATTTTTGGACAAAGGCTAACGCGACCAGATTTGAGATAAAATTGAAGTTTGGGACTAAAGTTAAAGTTTTGATTTTTTTTTAGACGAAAAATTTCACAGTAGAATTGGGACTGGACCTAAAGTTTATGGTTTTTTTTTTTAGGCAAAAATGTTTGGGGTAGAATTGGAACCAAACCTAAAATTGAAATTTTTTAAGACAAAAAAATTCGAAAGTAAAATCGAAATTGGACGTGAAGTTATGATTTCTTTATTTAATTAGGCCTCTTCTCTGCGGTTGTTCAATGCGTTTGAACTTGTGATGGGACTCTAGGTAGCTTGTGATCAAGGAAAATGCAATTGCATCATGGGATGGGTAGCTATGGACCTGGCCATGTCCTTAAAAGGCTTAAAGGGGCTCTGGCCTGGGAATTCCTGAAAAGGAAAACTCAGGTTCTTCTCCTGTATTCCCTCCAGGTGGGGAAGAAAAAGATACACCTGGAAAAAGGGTCACTTACGAACTGAGGGAGTGATTTTTATGTTTCGCTCCTTATTTTTTTTTCTAAATTATGCCGGGGAAAAAATCGGGACTCCGTTCAGTTTTGAGTATTTAGTATTTTCACGAAATATGAATGTTGACACGTCTCTTCATATATAATTTTTCATAATTTTCTATAATTAATTGTGTTTTAGATTTTGACAGGAAAAGTAAATGAGTTACTCCTTTTCTTTTGCAAAATCCAAACAAGCATCCGAACAAGCGCGAGTAAACGAAATGATGAAATATCTTATCTTATACCATAGTACATCTACCTATTATTAGTTGGAAAGTGAAAAGCGCTGGTCATAGCATGAGACCGGTTATAACGTGAGATAAGATAGCGGGACTTTTTTTTCTTTCGAAGTGATAAATATGGTTGTACTCTTTACTCGAGATCTGAATTTGAGTAATTATATTTGTGCATTCTCTTGAAATCGCCTCCTATGAGCGCAAACTTATATACTGGCACAGGAACTGCCACGTCCGACAGGATCTAATCAAATGTCCGAGGACTCCTCTATACCTACTAATATACAATTAAAAAAAAAAAGGAGAAAAAGATGGAAAGTATTTACCTTAGAGCAGGATAAAATTAAAAGAAAACAGTACAAGTTATACTAAGCAGATCAAATCGTGGAGTGACACGTGGATCCCCCGCATCGCCCCGCTGACTCACACGTGTCCCACACGTGGCAGCCGCCCAGCAAGAGAAACGGACAAAAAGCTAACCCCATCCCATTCGCAAGAGCCTCCGTTACAAATGCATCGTTTGCATCAGATTTCCTATCCATTACAGAGCGAGAGCGCGAGCGAGAACGGGTCGGAACTCAAAACGAAACGAGCAAAAGAACCGAAATGGAGAGGCAAGAGGTGCATCCACAGGGAAAGAGAGGCCAGGCCGAAGAGAAGAAGCCGGACCTGGAGGGGCTCCCGCTGAAGAGCAGCCCCTACCTGCAGTACAAGGACCTGGAGGACTACAAGCTCCGGGGCTACGGCGCTCAGGGCCACCTGGAGCCGAAGCCCGGCCGCGGCGCCGGCTCCACCGACGCCCCCACCATGCCGGGCAGCGCCGTCTCGTCCGAGGCCGAGGTCGCCACGGCCGAGGCCGCCCATCGTCAGGGAGTCTTCAAGTAGTGTGAAACTTGTGATCTTTACGTGTCTGTCAAAGAGAGAGCGTTGGTGGTTTTGTTTCTTTTGTGACACTTCTGATGATATGAATAAAACATTCGACATTGGCCATTTTCTCTTGAGAGTTATATTAGTTTGGGTTATGTTCGGATCTGTCGAAACTTTTGCATGTTGATAAGTGCTACACCCGCAGATGAAACTTGCAACGCCCTCCTCTTCCTCCTAGAGTTTGACCACCTGCCGCCGTCGCCGTCGCCATTGCTTTATCATCTCCGTAAGGCTCCACCTTCGCCATTGTTGCTCACCATCAGTCATCTTGTTTGTCCACTCTCTCTCTCTCTCTTTGCTTGACCTCGGAAAAGGTTAGATTGGAGGTCGCACGGCGCGGATGACCCAAATCGAGGTCAATGTGGGGTTGTAGAGGGCGACGAGCTCAGATCTACTGGGTCTGTTGCGCAGGCAGATGGAGAGCGAGGCGTGTGGTGCAACGAAATGTCAAACATTGGACAGGAATGTTTGCGAACCAATCATCAGAAGTCTAATTTGAGTGCATCGTTGTTGGAGGAGAACATAACCACATATTCAATCGACCCTTTGAACTACAGACATTTCCACAATGATTATTTCCAAAACCAGCATCTCCTCCTCTAGCCAACGCTAGATTCGCCACCAGTCAGTCAGCTTCACCATCAGGATCATCTCTCTCTCTCTCTCTCTCTCTCTCTCTCTCTCTCTCTCTCTCTACAACAAGAAGAGCAGAAAGAGATTTTCGCATCTGGTGGATCGTTTTCTTCTACAGCAGAGGCAAGGAACCTCGGGAGTTATGATCGGCGATCCGTCGAAATCTAAACGAGACGTGGGGAGACGTGAATGGACTTCGGAGCTTCGATTATCAAACCTGTGTGGTTTGGGATGGAAACGAGGTTTTAGGGTTGGTAAATCCAATACACGAATATAATATCTGTTCATTATCAAAAATACATCTATTTCCACAATAGTACTAAGTTAATATAGTGTATGTGCATTAAGTATTCTTGTCTCGTTGGGGTTTGGGTCTTTTGAAGACTTATTAGATGGGTAAATTCGTAATGTTCTTATCAAATTATGGTATCGCAGCTCCATGGGATTTCAAAGCAGAGCCATACAATGCATGATTTATTAAAAAGTTAGCAATTTTTGGCGTTGGCCTGAAGTACTATATCGGAAAATCGTCAAAATGTTTAAATCTAAATTGACCAAATTAAAAAATTTAAGACTGATGTAGCCGTCGTGTTATAGGTCTAAGACATTTTGGACACTTCTTCTTATGAATATGGGTTGTGTTTGTAGAACTGATGTGGTTTACTTATATATTTAGTTTTGATAATTTGGGGTCTAGGCACAGATATCCTTTTTTTTTTGTCAGAACGCAGATATCCAGTTACTAGGTGAGGTTTATTATGGATTTAGTGCAAGATATCTATGGGCTAGAAAAAATCTACAATGGGTCACGGTCATTCAACTACTTCAACGTTACAACTTCAGGATTTGATGTCAAAATTGTAATAGGTTCGAGATGGACTTGAAAAATAGCAGAAAGTTGACAAGAGGATTTGGAAAAAGGTAAAGCGGCTCCAAACTCATCCTACTTCCGTCGTCATAGAAGTCCGAAGGTACTTAAATAAAGCCAAAGTATTTCCAGGTGCGGTTTCTATCTCATTAGTGATGTGTCAATTATATAGAAGGAACAACTTTTGAAATATAAATTTCCATATAAGTTTAGACGATCTCAATCCTTTTATTTTTTCCTTATAGATTGCATCCAAAGTATAGTTGATAAGAAACCTATTGAATCATACCATGTTACTTTTTGGGCCTTCCAAGTGATTACTCGATAGTGGGCCTTCTCTTCATCTTCAGCATTCGGGCTTAGCTTCGTTTCATTCGGCCTCTTAAGTTGCTTAACGGGGGCCTTTTCTTTCGCCATATATTTCATACTTGGGGGCCTGATTAATACAAGATTAGAAATAAAAAGTGATTTGCTTAGGGCCGCACTTTTTCCACTCCCTTTATGACTGAAACACTCCCTATCACAATGTTTTAATAATATTAACCATTGTGGGTCCCACCTTTTTTAAGCATTCGTTGGTTGCTTTTTTTCATTCTCTTTTCTCGTTGTGCCACTTTCCTCTTCTCATTTATTTCTCTATTCTCTCTCTCTTTCTGAAACACTCTCTCTCATGCTAATGATAGACAAGTTTTGGCACCTTAATGTTTGTCACCGGCATAAAAAAAAAGTAAAAAAAAACGTTCGTCACCGACACAAGCAACTCACGGAGTTGAAGCCCAAATTTACAAAAGCCTCCTCCTCACCCAATTAGTCCTCTTCTATCTTTATTTCTTCAACTCAAAGCTCAATTGTAAGTGAAAAACCCATCTCATGTCTCTTCACTCTTCACCCCCATTCCATCCCTTTCGCTCTTTGTGCTATTTGTTATCCCATTTGGCATCAAATTTTTCGATTGATCGATAAAAAAGACAAGAAAAACCCCATTAAAGATTCAAATCCAAGAGCTAAAGCCCTCGCCCATATCCTCATCAAGCTCATCAGCAATGTTTGCTTCTCCATCTTCGTCTTCTTGGTTCTAATCGTCACCGTCATAGCCAATTCGCCATCACCTACCAACCTCCAGATCCATGGCTCGAATTCCCCCTTCTCTCACTAAGTTGTTTACACAAACTAAAAATGCCACATTCAAGAACGACAATCCCATCCACAAGACAGGGAAGGATTTTCGCCTCCTCGCTCCCGCGGCCTCTCATACGTCTACGCTGATCTTGGTTGCCGAGCTCCCATCACTAGCAATTAAGAGGGCTGGAGAGGTGATTGTGAACTTGACCCTCAAGTCCAAGCCCTTATGTGATGAGGCGGCCTCATTGCCCATAAATCGTTTGAATATCTGTAATCTGATTGCCATTAAGTTCAATGCCAAAGCTTTTAGGTCTATTGTGTTTTGGGTATCAAAAACTCAAGTTAAAGATTCAAAAATTGGTGAGTGCAACGTGGCCTGGATGACAAGTCACAGAGGTAGACCACAAAAGCATGTTCTTCTTTTTTTTTTTAACAGATGTTATCAAGACTTGAACCATGATCAGAACAACGAGGGAAAGGAGAGAACTAAAAAGAAAGAGGAAAATGGGACCAACAAGAAAAGATAAAGAAGAAAACAATCGGGATACCACAACTAAACAAAAGATATCCTTAAAACAAGGTAAGACGCACAAAAGTTAATATTGTCAAAACGTCGTGATAGGAAGTGTTTTAGTTGTGGTAGGAGTGGAAAAAACGCGACCCTTGGCTGAATACTTTGATTACTTAATTAGGTGAAATAATTCTTTATTTTTCTCCATTTATCAAAATGTTGGTGCACCGTATGGACTGGTGTTAGCTGAGGTTACCCAAAGATCACTTTTCTGACCACGGTAAAAACCTTAGAACCACACATCCTTATACTTCCTACTTGGCTATTATTGTCACGGGAGTGCTTTTTCTTAGTGAATAATAAAATATCGAGAGTCCAATAATCCGATACCACAAATCTCTACAGGTGCTTGCAAGCGCGGAGGTGATCGGTTCCCGATCCGATGTAATAGAATCGGTCACTTAGGATTTAGTTCATATTTTGTTAATTTTTGTCAATAAATTTATGTTAATGAACTTCACTTAGGGTTTAGTTCACATTTTACTAATTTTTGCCAATTAATTTATAGCAATGAAGTTCACCTAGGATTTAGTTTACATTTTACTATTTTTGTGAAGAAAAAAATAAAAAAAAGTATAAGTAGCGGTCCGGTCCGGTTGGTCTGGTTTCCGTTGGAACCGAGAACTGAAACTTTTATGAACCGGAAACCAAATCGATACTCTTAAGAACTGGACCAAACCGGCCAGTTCGGTCCGGTCCGGACATTTCTCAATTTGGACAATCCATTTTGCACGCCCCTACTTATAAGTATCTCCGTTCACTTGCATCGATTGAATCTGACAATGTTTATGTTCAAAATACAGAATTTGCCGCGTCCAGATTAAGTCCTTGAAATACTCGATCGATTCCGTCGGGATTAAATAGTTCTCTTTTAGATCGAAGTCGACCGCGTTTTCTGTTCAAGTATTGAACTTTTCGCATTCCAAATTAAGTCTTTCATACGGTCAATCGATTCCATTGGGGTTCAATTGGTTCTCATTTTGATTACGACGATAAAGTCAAGGATTGTTATAATCATCGACTAAGACATCGGAAGGTGGTGAGAAAGGAGGAAAAGGAAGTGCGAGAGAAAAGTCAGTGCTGCATCATGAACACTGACAGATAGCATCATGCACTAGACAAAGACCGCTTCTGAACCCTATTATTTCAACTTGGCTCCCCACGACGGATTAGCAGTCAAAAGTCAAAATCTATTTTGAGAGTGCCATCATATCCAACCCCCGGTCACCAGCACCCCTCACCATCTCTCTCTCACTCATTGCTCTCCGGTCATGGCGAGGTTTGCCGATGACCTATTGTACGTGTATCATCAATTTAGGTTTGCGAGTCATATATATTTTTTCGTTTTCGATCATTGTAACAATTGAGTCAAGAAATCTCTTTCGGACGTAACCCTAATGATTACATTAAAATTTCGCGTAAAATTTTATTGCTCTCCGGTCATGGCAAGGTTTGCCGATGACCTATTGTTCGTATATCATCAATTCGAGTCAACAATTTTCAACGAAAATTGACCGAAATGATTATATTAGAACTTCGCGTAAAAATTTATGACTATATTAGCAACATTAAAAATTTTAAGACTGAATTGGTATCCTTATAATAAATTTGGGGTTAATTGGATAATTTCCCCGTGACCCCGATGGTGACCATGATTTAGCGATAGGTGTAGTAGCGGTTGTGGATGGAGTTTTCTTGAAAGAGAGAGAGAGAGAAACTAGGGTCTTTGAATGGTAAGAGGCATTTGGGGGAACAAGTGCAATTTTGTGTGTGAAGTTACAATAAGGTGTAGGTGAGGGTGTTACTAGAAAACTTACTGTAGTTTTTCTAATTTTAAAAATAGAGGATGTAAAGTGATTAGGCATGTATCAAAGCTGA